ACTTACTCCTTGACTTAGTACTGTTTTATTTTTATTAGAAAATAGTAAAAATCAAAAACAAAAAACCCTCCTAAACCCAAAGGCATAAAATAACATCCTCTAACTCTGGACGGTGAAAGATGTTGTGTATTTACAGAGCTTTCTGTTCAAAGATATACAACTTGAGAAATTCTAAATTAAATTTCCATAATTATCTATGATCTTCTATTTGTCAACAGTCCTAACTCAGTGGTCCTGTGTTTAGAAAGTCAAATGAAGTATTATATTACTCTGGATTTCTAATAAAACTATGCATCTCTTTTTGACAGGAAACTACTCGGATAAAAACAGACCTTCTAATAGGAGCATTTGTTTTTTGATTTTGAAGGAAATCCTGGAAAATATACTTGTTGGGCTCATATTTAACTTTACTTGCAAGATTTTTATTAAGTAAAAGATTGCATAAAATATAATCTGTTCCAGTAAAAGCAATGGCATGTTAGGGAATCATATCATTACCATTGTTGCTTTTGAATTAAAGAAGTTGAAAGGCTTGTATGTCTTTTTAGCATACTGGCTTTTTTGTGAAGTAATTAAGGTTTGGTTTTGCAGGTTGGCAAATTTATAACATTTGAAGGATGAAATCCTGACACTAGTCAACAGGGGTTTTACCTTTGAGTTATTTTTGTAGTCATGGTATTGAATTTTTGCTGATTCCTTCATAGTCTCTGGTCTAGTTAGTCTTCTGTAAGGCCCTTGACTAGGTTTAGGGTAAAGATTGTGGCCACAAAAAGAGCAAAGGGAATCAGTGATTGAACCATAACCTCGTTTGGGTTCATTGGCACTAGATGCCCTAAACAGCCGTAGATTCCGTAGGTATGGACATAGCGGAACCAAGATGTTTGTTCACTGGGGAAAATAGGTCAGTAAAAAGCATCTGTCTCTTCCACCAAGATAATTCCTATAAGAGCCCTTCTGGATTCCTGGCATTCTTGAAATAGTAAACATCTTATCATAAGAAGAGAAAAATGAAAAAAACAAATCTAGGCTATTCTCAAAATGAAACCTTGAGCTGCTGTAAGGAACATTTTCAGGATTACTATTACTATCAGAAATAGTATTTAACTTATGATCAATCCTACTTAACTACAAGATATTGGATATTACCCTTTGAAAAACAGGAATTGTTGTATCTTGTGACTTTACTTGCGATGTGCTTACCATTTCTGCCTGGAAGATACACACAGTGCAATTCATACCAAGATTTTTGAATTTCTCTTTTACTTCGATATCCCCAAGTATATATGGTACCATAATAGTATCATTATTGAATTCCTTTTGGACTTCTATCAAGCATTTATACTTTTCACCTACCAAAGTATGTGGTAGGTGGTATGTGGGTTTTTTTTTCTTTTTTTTTGGGTAGTTGTTGGTATAGAATTTCCTTTCCTTGGTCATGGCTAAAAAATAAATTTCTTTGAACAATTTAATATCCACCTAGCTATTTTTAAATTAGATATTAGTTCAGGGATTTAGAATATGAATGCTTTGTTTTGCTTTTTGCCTTGAAAAGAAACTTACTTTTTTTTTGTTTTGGTTTTTTTGGCACGGATACTCCCCAACTGGATGAACTTAAAGGCTAAAATTTTCCATCACTTTAGCTAATTCTCATGGGGGTGGAATCTCTAACTTGATTTGAGAAAAAGTGTAATTTAGAAATTCAAAGAACATGACAGGAAAATCTGTGTTAATATAAATGAGTAGTATGTGTTCTAAGCAATAACATTCTGTTGCATTATGCATATAGAGCCCTTCAAAAATATGTATTATTTTATTGATGTTTGATGGCTTTGGAGCTCTGTTAGGTGTCCAAAAAAGAATTTTGGAGATAGACATCAGTTTTCCACCTTAAAAAAATTTTTAAGTAAGTAAAGTTTCCATGATAGTGTTTTGTATATACTCAGTACTTAATAGAATTTTTGCTTGATTGAAAATATTACAATGTCCTTAAAGCTACTTCAAAATTTTAATATACATAAATATAAACAACTTGTAACTTCAATGTATAGCTCATGTGATCTAATTTGGATCAGGGTCTCATTATATTCTGTTAAGCTTAAACTACTTGTTCACTGACTTTTATTTTGTGCCCATGTGAAGAATTTAATTATAAAATAGAGTAAGAACAATGATTTTCTAGTTTTCAGTGATATAACTTCTTCATTCTTTAATGTTACTGGAAATAAAATCTGATTTGATAGTTTGTACCTTCAAGTAAATAATACTGACTGTTTAACATGAGCTCAGACTTGTTTTTCTATAGTGTTGTTAGTTTACCAGTGAATGATCTACATGTTCTTGGCCTTGTGACCAAAGGCATGCAATCACTGCTGAGTGATTAGAATAAATTGGGAAAGGTTATGTTCATAATTTTTCGCTGGAAATTTCATTGGCTTGTGTGGGAATTGACATGTGATTTTTATTTCACTCCAATGGCATCATTCTTAACCAAGCTTGCTGGTCCATTTAAAGCAGACAAAGGGCCTTTAATTCCCTATTTGTTCTACATCTTGGAGTGTGTTATCTGTTAGAGCCTCTTGATAAACATGCTTGTTGTCAAAGTTGTAGAGCGTTTTATGGTTAAGTGAGAGGTCTACAAACAGTTTTCTTTTCCCCTTTTCACTACTCTCTAAAAGGAAAAGCTATATTGTTTTTCCTTTTAGAGCTATATTGTTTTGAATATCTATAGTATGAGAATTTAGACTCAGTAACTTGTAAGGAAATGCAGTGGTACAATACACAATACTGCACATTTAAAGGAAAGAAGAAAATTTGTTGTTATTAAAGATTTAAATGTGCCCCAGGGACTCTATTAAGGCTCCGTGTTGTTGCTGTGATCTTAAACATGTAAAAGACAATGTAAATCCTGGAGCAGGGCACATGACAGCTTTGTGGCTAAACTGCTCCTAAGAAACAAACAAGCTTTAAAGGACAAGATAACATAGTAATAGAAATTCATTGGCATGTGATTTTTTTTTTTCTTCTTCTGTAACTGCTTTTACTGAGTCAGTTTTAATATAGTTCTAAGTTGCTTGATTTAAGTCAAATGGAAAAGAAATCCAGTGCAGGCTTACACCTTTAAAAAAGGTAGTAAATTAGTTAACATTTATTATTAAGGTTTAAAGAAATGGCTTGTAATTTTGATTTAAAAATGTTTCTCTTTGAGTACTAGCTGTGTTTTCAGTGTTTACAAGTGCATCAATATATATTTAATGGATCTTAGGTGTTAGATTTTCCTTCTTTTGTCTTTCATTTTGAACTAGATTATGTAGAAAAATGGGTTCAATATTCTGGGGTAGAATATTGCATCTGTGTTTACTTGTTTACTGACTCATGGTATACAGAAGGCAGAGCTAGTGTTCAAACTTAATGGCATTTCTAGATATAGTGGAAATGTAGTAATTTGCTTTGAATTGTTCCTTAGTATCTTACTTTTGCTCCTTATTGAAAACAATAGAATTTAAGTTCTCATTGACAACATTTTTTAAGACTTACATATACTTAGAGTAAACAGAGAAATTAAAAAAGTAGGCTATTAAAGTTTTAGGTAGCAAGCAGAGCTATAATAGAAGAGTACATTATTTTGGAAAGTCAACATTATGAATAACTTATCAGATGTTGAAAGAAGAAAGTGAGGAAGAAATCAGTAGCACAAGATTATTTTAGCAAATTTCTAAGTATCCAAGAAAATTAAAGTTTCTTTTATTCAACCAACTTAAATATGGAAATTTGGATTTTTTTAAATTAATTTTTTTAAGAGCCTCAGTCTGTTACCAGGCTATTATTATTTTTAGTAGTAACAGTGGCCTTTTATTGCACATTTGTTAGGAGCCAGCTATTTATGTGCCTTGCAGATAAAGCCAGGCTTTATGTGCTTTACAGATATCAAATCATTTAGTTTTCCCCACCACCCTATAAGGTTGGTATTATTATTTCAATATGACGAAGCAGTACACTCAATTGTTAAAGAGACAGGCGGCCAGAATGTATATCCTGTCTTTGTCACAAAGTAGGTGAGTGATGTTAGGCAAATTATTCAACCCCTTGTGCTCCAATTTCCCCCTTAATAAAATGGGCTTAGTATAATAATAACTCATGGAATCATCATGAGGATTAAATGTATATTTTGAATATATGTAACATATTTATTATATGTAAGAAGAAGAAGAATGCCTTGACATACTAAACACTATAAAAATGTGGTAATATTATTCTCAAATCATAATTATTTTTCATTTTGTTGATGCTTCTCTGCTTTTTTACTCAATTGCTATTTGAGAGTGGGAATTATGGCAGAGGGAGCCGAAATGATGGAGTAAACTTGCATCAAAGCAATTTTTAATTTATTTTGCTGTTTGCCTGAAAATTGTTTTTCTGTTGATCTTGTTGGCAAAAGCTTCTGGCAGCTTGGCTTTTCACAAGTCTTATGGACTTTACACATACACCTTGCTAAGTCTAAACACTAAAATTGTTAAAAAATATTTTTTAAACAATGGAATGAGTTTCAGATGTTATGAAAGACAGTTCCAAGTATGATTTTTTTTCCTTTACGTTTGTTTTAACATAGAAACAAACCCAAATAAACACTTTTGTAGTTAATTTTTAAAATGTCTATTTTGTTTTTTCTCATTTTATTAAAGAGGGGAAATTGTAGAAAAGAAGATTTGTTTCCAAGAAAACCATCAGCTATCTAGGCTCTGTAAATAATGTAATAAAATTCCCAAAAATGGAGAACAAAGGAAATGACGTGAATATTAATTAGGATGATCAGGAATTGTTTATATTTTATCTCCACTGAAGTGTTCTTAGGGCTACACTGAATGAGCAGGTTGTAATTTATTTATAGATTTTGTGTAACTCATATCCAAATCTTCCTCAGTCCTAACATAATAAATTGTACTAGTGACTTTCAGTTTTATATATATTTTGGAATAATTTTTTTTCTGCCTTTTTTGTTCCAGGCATTGAAGAAACAAGAAACTAAAGCAGATGAGAATGAAGGGGCAATAAAAAATAAGCTAAGACAAACTGAAACTGAGAAGAATCAAGTAAGATATTGAAAGTTTCTTTCAAAGAATAAAGTGGTTTGGGCCAGTGGTATTTGTGGAGTGCCTTGAAAAGTGTCCCCAGGATCCTTTAGAACAGTGTGAGATCTTTATCTTTCAGTGTGGAATCAATTGGCTCAACACCTCTTTTACTTGCTAGCACTTGCTCTTGGAAACAGATATGCAAGTTGTTTGCTACCTTGTCATCTATGACCACTCCCCTTTCTGAGAGGTGCGCTAAACTTTACTTTTCTCTGAACACATTTTCTGTTTCTTTTAAAATAGAGACCTTTGACATATGTTCATGTTTATGAACTGTGTGTTCATGTCTATGAATACATAGAGCTTAGCACTTTAGAGTTAGAAAGGAATTCAGAGGCCAAACCACTCTTCCTTAATTTGCAAATAAGTAGATTTAAGGATGAACTCAAAGTAATGAATGATGAAGTGAAAATTTGCCCTGCTCTTTACTCCATATCGCTGTTTTCTACCTACCATTACCTCCTTTATTTATTTCACCAACTCATATAAAGGCAGCTTCCTTTCTGCTTTTAGGGTAAGCAAAGTATGTTAGGTCATTAAATTTGCCCTTTGGGAGTTGCAATGTAGAAATTACACAGGGATTATGACGAATATGGGCTTTGGTTGATTTCAAAGTTATTTTGCTTGAAGTGTGGTTTCTTTCCTCTATTTCTTCATAGAGACTAAACAACAGGTCAGATGATATTTTGTATGGATTCTGTGATTCCCACATATACTGCACTTTTTCTTTAAAAAGTGCCACATGTATAATTTTTTATGAGCCACATGTATAATTTTTTAAAAATTATATAATGGGATTTAAAGATACATTTTGAAATAATTACAGATTTATAGGATATTGTAAAACAAGATACACAGAGAGGTCCCATGCACCCAGATTCCCTCAATGGTAACATTTTTGCATAACTGCCATTTGATATTAAAACCAGAAAATTGGTGTTGGTACAATCTACTTAGTTTATATAGATTTCACCAGATTTATATATACTCATTTGTGTGTGTGGTGTGTGAAGTTCTATCCATTTTATCTTGTATAGATTCTTGTTACCACTACCACCATCAGGATACAGAACTGTTCCATCATCACAAGGTTCCCTTAACGCTCTTCTGCAGGCACACCTACCACATGTACAGTTATGAAAGGGTTAATATACAGATAGCAGCTGTTCAATGGAAACGATAATTTAGGATAAGTACTTTAAGTATAAGCACTTACAAGCGTCTTAATATAAATGTATGATTTTTATGAAATCTTACTGTTACAAAATGCAAACAAGTCTAGCACATATAAGGTCCAAATTTTTTAGCAAACTTGTGTTGTATCCCATTACATGTTTCAACTTGAAATCATCTAGGCTTATTAGGAGTTTGCAGAATATTTAGTCACCTAACTGGTCACATTTTTTATAGATATTTATCTAATGGCATTATCATTAAGGAAATTTTAAATGTCTCATTCTAAATTTAGACATTTAAAAATTTAAGGAATGTCTTATGAATATTAGAAATATTAGGAATATAGGAAATCACCAATTAGATGAAACTTTTGAGCCATTATGTCCCTGCAGTTTTTATTCTAATTTAGTTAATTTGACACTACATATTCTAATTTAAAGAAAAAATTGCCTTAGGATTTAGAGTAAAGTAATTTAGAACTGGAAGGATCTCAGAGACTGTCTAATATAAAATTCTTACTTTAGAGATGGCAGAATGGAGGCCTAAGGAGAAGAGACTTGGACTGGCGTGAGATGAAACTTACCACATCCCAGACTTCCTGAGGCCTGGTCTAGTTCAATTTATATTATACAATTAACATTATTTTAATGGAAGTATTGATATATGTTCATAGTGAGATATTTATTCTTTTACATTAGCTGTAAATGTCTTCTGATAACTTTTCCACTTTTTTCTTTTAAACTGTGCCCATAATAATTAGGTTATCTTCTGCTCCATTTTTCTTTATCCTTTGTTGAAACTCTAGCTTGAACAGGAATTGGAGCTATCTCGAAGGTTATTGAATCAATCAGAAGGCAGCAGAGAAACACTTTTGCATCAGGTAAGTCTATGCAAACTATTATAATATACTTTTACATTAAATCAGGATTGAGTATCTCTATTTAAATATCTTTGTGAAAGGAGAAAAAAACTGGGTCTAGAAAAATTTTTTCCTAAGGAATATATATTAGCACACCTAAGTAAAAGATAAAATTCTTTCAGGGAAATTCAGAAAAAGCTAGTACAGACACCAGCCAAGGTCCCCACTGTGACAGTGTATCTTGCTGATTGCTGCTACAACTTATTACTTATCTCACTTAGCATGAGCAGTGTAAAAGTAAGACTGAATGTATAAGATAAAATTTTCCCAGGAACTTAATTTTATTCCAGGAAGCATTGGAAAGTAAAGGAAGAAGTAAACTACATAAAAGAGATTATTGCATGTTCACGTTACTTTGAATATGTCATTGTCTTTAATTTATGTTTTCGAGATACTACCTGACCCTTATAACCAAAGATAAGCTTGATTTTTAAGTATAACATTTTGCATTCCATCAGCCCATAATGGGAGTTTGGTGCTTCTGATGTTTAAAGTTCAATAACTTTAAATAACCATCTTACATACATTGGATAAGGGCTTATGAGTTTCTAACTGCCTCTCTCTGTTTAAGACAAGCTGCAATTATACTTTCTTCTGTTTTGTAGTGTGTGTTATATAACTCACCTTTAGAATATGCTAGTGGTAGGCAAAGATGTCAAGCCTTATAGATGTTCAGAAGGAATGTTAGGTTCTGACAACTGGTGCTGAAAATACAAGATAGCACCTGTTTTACAAAACAGTTGAAAACATTCACTGCCTTTGTTCTGCAGCCAATGGTCACATGGAATTAATTTTGGCAGAGTTCAAACTTTCCTTTTTGGAAGTTTATATTTGTATTTAATTCCATTCTGATTTATTTGGAACTCCAACTTATAATCTCCAATTTCAGTTTTTGAAGCAAGAGATTTCTTTGTTTAGATTGTCCTTGTGATTTTAGCTGAATCTTTTTGCCATTGCTAACGTGTTTAATGGTTATTTGGAAGTATCTGCTATGTGCTAGGTAATTTGGGACTCTAAGGATAGAAACATGAACAAATCAGTCCCTGCCTTCAAGTAGTTTAGAGTTTATTCAACAGCATCTGTTGCATACTTATTTTGAGCATGATTTTAATATCAAAATATTCTAAATCATGATTATTTCCCTTGATTTTAACAACCAGTAGACCATGTTTATATGAAAGCAAATGGGTGAAAATAGAAAAATATAAAAACATATAATACTTAATCGAAGGTGGTTTCGGTTATTAGTAATGGAGTAGAATGAGGACAAAATAAGTGATTTAAAAAAATCCGGTCACTTTCTTTGCCACCATGGATGCAGAGAAGGAAAAAGCATTCATTTATTCTTTGTGGACGAAATGAGAGGAATGAGGAAATGGAGCAGGAAACTGTTCCACTATGCTCAGAAGGAAATTAACCTGGATTCAGTGTGTGTTTAGCCCATTTGAAGTAAATCTTTTTCTGATTGTGAAAACGGATGTTTGACTTTTGACTATGTATTTAGGTAGAAGAACTGCGTACACAACTTACGAAAGCAGAGGGTGATCGAAAACATTTACAGCATCAAGTATCTCAGATTTCCAAGCAACAGTCAAACTATCAGAATGAACAAGAGGAGGACTGGAGGTTTAGGAGAGGTAAATTGTAGATTTATACCTAATAATGTGATAATTTGTATGGGAGCTTTTTGGTCTTTCTTAGGAAATACTTTTCATCCTTAGAATTGCATTCCTTTTTGATGCTCACATGATATTATTCCTTGATCTATTAAAAATTTTCTCATAAGTTGATAATAATTTAGCATCATTGTATTTTAATATCTTCCCTGCTTGGTTCAAACTCATTTTGGTTATTAGACCTATTTAACTTGTGGCTTTCTCTTAGAGCCTGCAAAAAGCATTAATTTTTCCAGTCTCCTATCCCCATGCTTAAATATATGTGCATATGTTTGTGTGTGTACCAGTCTTTGTACTTAAATTGTAAGTATCACTCTGTTTTTCACATTCTCTTATTTCAGTTTTCAATATGTGAGAAATTAAAGTTAAGACCCTCTCTTTTTTGTTATCTGGAGTTGGTGACAAAAAGTAATCACACCTCAGAAGTGGTTATGAGTGGTATCACTGGCTTTTTATGTGGACTAGGAACACTTTGTGTTTGAAAAATATTAGGATACTTTCTCAGTGGCGGTATTAATTTAAATTATGGAATTTAATGATGGATGTAAGTTCATGTTTAGTAATGGTAATTTTGAAATTATATATAATGGTTTATATTAGGTGAGTTCATACTGCTTTGCTTCTGTATTATTCCAATAATGAGACTTTCTACTCAAATGCTCAAATTATTGGTGAAATTCTTTTTTTTAATTGCATTTTAGGTTTTGGGGTACATGTGAAGAACAGGCAAGATTGTTGCATAGGTACACACATGGCAGCGTGATTTGCTGCCTTCCTCCCCTTCACCTATATCTGACATTTCTCCCCATGCTATCTCTTCCCAACTTCCCACCCCTCACTGTCCCTTCCCTATTTCCCCCCAACAGACCCCAGTGTGTGATGCTCCCCTCCCTGTGTCCATGTGTTCTCATTGTTCAACACCCGCCTATGAGTGAGAACATGTGGTGTTTGATTTTCTGCTCTTGTGTCAGTTTGCAGAGAATGATCATTTCCAGGTTCATCCACGTCCCTACAAGGGAAACGAACTCATTGTTTTTGATGGCTGCATAATATTCCATGGTGTATATGTGCCACATTTTCCCTGTCCAGTCTATCATCGATGGGCATTTGGGTTGGTCCAGGTCTTTGCTATTGTAAACAGTGCTGCAGTGAACATTCGTGTGCATGTGTCCTTATAGTAGAACAATTTATAACCCTTGGGATATATACCCAGTAATGGGATTGCTGGGTCAAATGGAATTTCTGTTTCTAGGTCCTTGAGGAATCACCACACTGTCTTCCACAATGGTTGAAATAATTTACACTCCCACCAACAGTGTAAAAGTGTTCCTATTTCTCCACATCCTCTCCAGCGTCTGTTGTCTCCAGAGTTTTAGTGATCGCCATTCTAACTGGTGTGAGATGGTATCTCAATGTAGTTTTGATTCGCATTTCTCTAATGACCAGTGATGATGAGCATTTTTTCATATTTGTTGGCCTCATGTATGTCTTCTTTTGTAAAGTGTCTGTTCATATCCTTTGCCCACTTTTGAATGGGCTTGTTTGTTTTTTTTCTTGTAAATCTGTTTTAGTTCTTTGTAGATTCTGGATATCAGCCCTTTGTCAGATGGGTAAACTGCAAAAATTTGTTCCCATTTTGTTGGTTGCAGATTCACTCTAGTGACTGTTTCTTTTGCTGTGCAGAAGCTGTGGAGTTTCATTAGGTCCCATTTGTCTATTTTGGCTTTTGGTGCCAATGCTTTTGGTGTTTGGTCATGAAGTCCTTGCCTACTCCTATGTCCTGAATGGTTTTGCCTAGATTTTCTTCTAGGGTTTTTATGGTGTTAGGTCTTATGTTTAAGTCTTTAATCCATCTGGAGTTGAATTCAGGGAAGGTAAACATTGTCCCGGGCTTTCCAAAGACACCTCCATGTGTTGCCTAAGTGAGAATTTCCACATTGCCAGAAAATCTTCAATGGATGACACATTTTTGACAAAGCTATTCTAATATATTTTCTTAGTCTGTTTTGTGTTACTGTAAAGGAATACCTGAGGCTGGATAATGTACAGAGAAAAGAGCTTTATTTGTGTCACAATTCTGTAGGCAGTACCAGAAGCATGACTCTAGCATCTGCTTGAATTCTGGTGAGGGGTTTTACCCCTCATATCAAAATATGGCAAAGACGTTCAAATGGGGAGTGGACATCTGTAAAGAGGGACCAAATTCAAGGAAAGTACTGGCTTTCTAACAACGCACTCTCATATGAACTAGTCGGTTCCCAGGAGAGCAAGAACTCACTCACTACTACAAGAAGGGCACCAAGCCATTCATGAGGGATCCATCTCCATGACCCAAACACCTCCCACTAGGCCCCATCTACTAATACAGCCATAGTGGGGATAAAATTTCACCATGAGATTTGGTGAGGACAAATACACTATATCCAAACCATAGCATATTTTTATTTCTATGCCATTAAGTTTCATGTGATATAATTTAAATATCAGAATATCACTTATTTTTAACAGATCCTAAGCTATTAGATTCTTCATCAAATTTCTTAAAAGAAACACATGGAAATTGCTGGAAAAAAGACCCAACACATGTGTTATATGTTTTGATACCTCATAAAATGTAATTATTTTTGTTCTAAGTCTTTGAGGACTAAAACTGTCGAGCTTTTCTTGACTACTTATCAGGTTTGGAAAAATTTTGGGAGGTCTTTTATATATGTGATAATGGACTTCATCACCTTTTAACAATTGTAGAGTTTTTCATCTTTACAGAATACTTACATTATTTAAAGACCGTTCTACATTAAAAATCATACTTACCTGTTTTCAGCTGCTATTTCTTCTTCTGCCCACTGCCAAATTGGTTCCACCTCTAGTTGTAAAATTGCCTTTGTGTGGTTTGCTAGCAATCTCCTCTGTCAATTCCAAGGAGATCGTTTATTACTTATTTTACTGTCACCTGCTTAATTTTTCTTCCTTCCTTCCTGAAACGCTTCCTCTGACTTCCATGTCCCTTGCCTTTCCTACTTCTCCTGCCTTAGTTATTTACATTCTTTGTATTTGAATCTTTTGGCTTAGTTCACAGTTTGTCTTTTAAATGTTGGTTTTGCCTAGTATTTTATTCATGGCTTCTGTTACTTAGTATTTCTGCCTAGGAATTGATTAAAAATTATCACCTAAAAGTGATAATTCCTAAATTTAACTCTGCTCTCCTAACCTTTGGACCTCCAGATGGTGTTGGTCATTGGATATCTTCATATACTGTTCTTCAGAATGCTCTGATATTTACAGACCAACAGATAAGCAGCTGAATTCATCCTCTCCTCAAAACCTGTTTTTCTTTCCTGTCTCAGTGTATGGCATCATCCTCCATCCAGACATCCAAGCCTAAATTGCAAAGAACATAGAAATGATTTATTCTCTCCTCTATCTAATTAGTCTCTACCTCATGCCTATTTATACATCCTGATAGCTCTTGAATTTGCTACATTCTCTTTCTTATTCTCACTGCCCCAGCTTAAGCATATTTGAGTCAGTACAGGACATGTAGTATTCTCTTGTCTTACTGTTCTGGCTTTTCTGTAATCTATCTTCCTTTCCACTACTAAAGGGCACTATTCTTATTTCTTATTTCTATTTTAATGATTTAAAAAAAAGGACCTGAGAATAAATAGGTTGAGTTACTTGCCCAAGATCACACATGAGGGAAGCAGCAGACTCTAGTTACTCTTTTCCCAAACTGGAGATCTTAACTGCTCTCCTATACTGACCAAGCATTCTCCAAAATGGAGTGTTTGTAATGCTGTTTATATTTTATACTTTTTGTTTTAAATATTTTTAACTTTGGTAAATGTTTCATTACATATACTACATGTGTGTATGTATAGACGTATGTGTATATTTATCTTTAGTAGTATATATGTATATATAAGTAAGCATACCAAAATATGTCTCCACATCAAATGTATGTTTCATAAAGTATACATATAGGTGCCTTCATATTTTATATAATATCTTCATTCTAATGTTACATCCATGTATATATATCAGGAAACATATTGATATATACATATTATTGAGACATAAGTTATATGCACACAAATATACATATACACACATATATATAAATAAAATATATGTTTATAAAATGATCAAATACATTTACAAATAGATAAATATGTACATTTGCTGGTTGGAGAACTATCAGAAGTAGGGAAAATAGGGCTCATGGGCCAAATCCAGACTGCCACCTATTTTTGTAAATAAGCTTTATTGAAACACAGCTACTCCCTTTCATTTACACACTGTCTAGGCTACTTTTGCAATATAATGGTGGAACTGGCTAGTTGTGACAGAAGTCATATAGCTAAGATATTTATTATCTGATCCTTTATAGAAAATGTTTGCTGACACTTGGTTTGTAGCATAAATTCTAAGTTTCCTAGCAACACAAACTCTGTTGACTCTCCTTCCTCCCACACTGATATCATATGAAATGTATTAGCTGCGTAAAACTACTGTGGGGCCGGGTGCGGTGGCTCGCACCCGTAATCAGCACTTTGGGAGGCTAAAGCGGGCAGATCATGAGGTCAGGAGATCAGCCTGGCCAATATTGTGAAACCCCCTCTCTACTAAAAGTACAAAAATTAGCCGGGCATGGTGGTGGGCACCTATAGTCTCAACTGCTCGGGAGGCTGAGGCAGGAGAATTGCTTGAACTTGGGAGGCAGAGGTTGTAGTGAGCTGAGATTGTGCCTCTGCACTCCAACCTGGGTAATAGAGCGAGACTCCGTCTAAAGAGAAAACAAACTGCTGTGTGTGCAATTACCTGAATGTTAAATTCAATTTTGTACCTTTTGTATGCTTTATGGTATGTTCTTTCCCTAAATACACCCCAACTTCTCCTTTACTTGGAGAAATTTTGTATTCATTCCTAAGTCTGACTTATATCTCTGTTCTTCCTACCTTAGTTCCTCACTGAGATGGAGCTAATCCCTTTTCCTGTTTGTACTCTTTCTGTATAATCACATGTATCTATCAGTGATCTTATCCTATTGAAATGCCCATATGTCTTACATTCTAACATGTATAATTTTGAACACTAATATTCTGAAGTTGGAATGTATTTTATGAATGATGTATACATTTGATTTGTTACTGTTTTCTTCTTTCATTCTCTCCTTTTTTTTTTTTTCTGGAAAGAAAACCACTAGAAAGATAGTAGTTTTAAAGTGACAGTTTATGTTCCAATTGTTGACATTTTAGACTCCATAAAGTACTTTATATTTTGTCTCTATTTTTGGGATGTGTATTAGCCTGTTCTCACATTGCCGATAAAGACACACTTGAGACTGTATAATTTGTAAAGGAAAGAGATTTAGTGGACTAATAGGTTCACATGGCTGGGGAGGCTTCACAATCATGATGGAAGGGAAAGGAGAAGAGGAGAAGCAAAGGCACATCTTACGTGGTGATAGGCAAGAGAGCTTATGTAGGGGAACTCTCCTTTATAAAACCATCAAATCTTGTGAGACTCATTCACTATCATGAGAACAGCATGGAAAGAGCTAACCTCATGATTCAGTTACCTCCCACTTGGTCCCTTCACATAGCATGTGGGAATTATGGGAACTATAATTCAAGATGAGGTTTGGGTCGGGATACAGCCAAACCACATCAGGATGTAAGCTCATTGAGTATGAATTTTTATATTATTTATTTTTGTTTTACTGTTTGGAGATAGTGTAGAGGTGTGAGGAAAATTAAATTTAAAAATGTGTATGATTTTCTTGAAATAAATTGCAGTAGAAATCAGGTAATATTTTAAGTTTTAGTATCAAACTGGAATAATATTTGATGACATAGCAATGTATGTGTTTTTGAAAACTGTATAAAACTTGAGACAACAGGCTGGTAAATTCTGTTGAGTAACAGTGTCAATAAATGTATTATGTTAGCTAGAATATGGAAACACCACGGCTCAGTACTATTTGAAAGTACATTCTCCTGTGAATAAAGAACAACTGTTGAACTTCACATTTTGTCTTTTAAGGGGTTGAGCGGGAAAAACAGGATCTGGAGAAGCAGATGTCAGATTTGAGAGTGCAGCTGAACTTCAATGCAATGGCATCTGAGTTAGAGGAAGTGAAACGGTGCATGGAGCGAAAAGACAATGAAAAAGCACATTTGGCAGCACAAGTAGAGGTGACTTTCTCTTTTTAAACTGTATTAGAAATATTTTAATTTTATTTCATGGAATTGCTGAATGAAATTTTAATATAAAGATATTTTATGAACCCTAGTTTGAATATTGATAATATAATATTAATGACTAATTTTCTTATATGTAGAAATTCCTATGCATTCATTTCTTTTTAATTCAGGATCCCCAAACCAGGAATCAGGATTATTTTCCTTTATTATTTCACAGAAAAATTCTTTACTATTTCTAAATTGGAAAATATTTTTGTTCTAATAGCAACTGAACCCTTTCTACAGACAAAAGGGACCTTTTTTCTTTGAGGGAACAGTGAATTATTATTTATTTTGCAGGTGAAACTTGCAGAATGCATATTAAAAAGGTGTTACTGATAATTCCTCTTTGGATCCACGAAGGTTTTCATACCTCTAGTTGTTCTACATGAGATGGAGCTGCGATGCCTCCATTAATTTAGAGTTGTGTAGCAATCGTGGATGATGTGGGAATCATGAATGAAGTGTAACTAGGCAGCTACCATTTCCTGCTTTTATCTGGCATAGATGAGGTGATTATCAGTATATATTAAAAATCAAAGGAAAAGACCTCAAAAAGGGAAATGGCTTAATTCAAATGACAATTATGCAAATTAGATTAAAAATGGATGACACATTTGGAAATAGATATGTATTAATTCTCCCTGTATCTGTTTTTATGAGTGAAGTTGTGTTCTAATTGTAATAAGTTGCATTTGAAGTATTTCCAAAATTAAAATGAGAGGTAGAAAATTGGTGTTAAAAGTACCTAATTTTATATAACCCAAAGGAAATGTTTAATGTTTCTTGTCTGTGTTTCTCTTTCATCTTGTCAGCACATCAGTAGAAAATGTCTTTTAAATTTGGTTCAAGATTCAGATTGTAAAGATACTGAAATATTGACGTATTCTTTACAAAGCCCTCTACATGTTCAATAAAGACTTACTTGAAATAGTCTCAGAGCAATGGTAATTATACAACTTTTAAAGTTTGCTTCATGGGTATTATTTTAGCCTTTGATCCTGCTAATGAAAATGTTAAAATATGATTATTTTGTTGAAGTGATGTATTTTTTAAAAAACTATGCTGGATAGAACTAAAAAATCCCTTTGCTCTGTGTTCATAACCACACGTTGGTACTCCCTCCCTTCTTTCCTTCCTTCACATTGTTTTTTTCACTTGCCATCATGGTATAAATTGGAAAAAAATCTCAAATATGTGAGCATTAAAAAATCATTTATGATAGCCTAATAATGCTCTTATTCAAGATTCCTAGCTTTCCATTTGTCCTACCTTAATAGTTCTTTTACAGTTTCATATGGGTTAGGAGAAGAATTTGAATCCCCTCGGGTTAGTTTGGTTTGGTTGTATAGAGTTTGCGTGTGAAAAACAAATAGAGGAGAGGTTTTTACTCACACATCAAATATTATTGTCTGCCTGTTACCTGCCAGCCTCTGTTCTAGGTGCTGGCAGCATAGCAAAGAACACAAATGCAGCCAATTCTCTGTTTCTCACAGTGAATCTAAATTAGATGCAGGCTGGGAGCACTGGCTTGTGCCTGTAGTGCTACTCAGGAGGCTGAGGTGAGAGGATTGCTTGAGGCAAGAGTTCAAGGCTGCAGCAAGCTGTGATTGTGCCACTGCACTCCAGCTTAGGTGACATAGTGAGACTCTGTCTCTAAAAAATAAGTAAAAATAAAAATAAAATTGATACAGAAAGTCCTTTGAGTTTGTCTTGCTTCTAAGAATAAATTTCTTTTCGATAATAAATTTTTTTCTAGATGCCATTGCAAAGGACATCATAAAGACAGTGTTTATCCCTGTAAGACATTAGCATTAACTAATTTATTTTTCAGATTTTCTTATTTTGGACAATAAAATAGTTAATTAACTTTGCAGCTGTTGTTTCTGATTTAGTGACACTTCTGATTACACTTTATTTTTCATTGTAAAAGAACTATTAAGATGGGACAAGATTATTGTCCATGTCACTAATATTCTTACGGCACCTTTTGGAGGCCATTTGAATATCTTTGTTCCCAAACTATTCTCAAAGAGATGCCTTATGCAGATTTTGTGAGATATTAGGATGTAGACTACTCTATTGCCACCTCTAACAATGGAGAATTTTCTTGAAATTAGTCTCTGCTTTGTTTCTTGAAAATATCAGGTAGTACGAAGTTGTTGCCTTATACATTCAGTTAAAAAAGAGAGAGTAATCTTCTTTAGTTGCTTTTCAGAGACCAAATATGAATAAAAAAGATGCACAAAATGAGATTATTGGTCAGGCCCAAGAACACATATATAGTATTAGTTCTTATGATTTGTTCAATCATCGATGTTTCCCTTTTTAACCTTCACTTTCTTATAGCTCTCCTATGGAATCTCACATGTGGTCTTGTCAAATAATTCCTTTTGTCTTAAACTTCCCTCCTCAGTTCCATCTTTTTTTCCTTTGTTCCAGTTGTTCACTGTTTCTGTGAACAACTTTGAATGTCTTTTCTTTTTGTGGAACTCCTAAACTTTTTCCACCATGGACCTTTTTTTGGATTATATCAGCTATAAATGATAATTCTTCTTTCTGAATAATGCTTTTGTCCATATCGCTATTCTTATGGTGCCTTTCTCACACTCTCTTGAAGTAATCTGGATATGTTTTGTTAAAAATTTCAAAGTGGGCTGGGCAAGGTGGCTCACACCTGTAATCTTGTACTTTGGGAGGCTGAGGCAGGTGGATTACCTGAGGTCAGGAGTTTGAGACCAGCTTGGCCAACATGGTGAAACCCCATCTGTACTAAAGATACAAAAATTATCTGGGCATGGTAGCAGGCACATGTAATCCCACCTTCTTGGGAGGCTGAGGCAGGAGAATTGCTTGAACCTGGGAGTGGAGGTGGCAGTGAGCTGAAATCACACATCTGCACTACAGCCTGGGTCACAGAGTGAAACTCCATTTCAAAAAAAAAAAAAAAAAACAAACCACATTCAAGGTGGACCAAAGTAAATTAGAAAGAGATTCAGGAGAAAGCCAGCAGCCCTGTCACCAAGACAGAGTGAGCTTTGGTGCCCTTACCGTGGTGGAGACATCATGTTTCAAGGTCTTGTCCTCACATCTGGAAAGTTGAGTTTTCTGTGTGTGACCCAGGGGACTGGCTCATATTAACAATGCAACTCAGAAGAGAGAAGTATAGCCAGTAATGTGGTTTTTGCAATTACTTTTGCGTAGACCGAATACATAAAAGAGTACCACTTCACTGATTTACCCTATTGGAGTCATCTAAAGATATATATATATATATATATATATATATATATATATTTTATTGTGTGCTATTTTCTTTATATATATATGTATATAAAGTGTATATATATACTTTATTGTGTTTTAGGTTTTGGGGTGCATGTGAAGAACATGCAGGATGTTGCACTGGTACATGCATGGCAATGTGGTTTGCTGCCTTCCTCCCCATCACCTATGTCTGGCATTTCTCCCCATGTTATCCCTCCCCAACTCCCCACCCCACACTGTCCCTCCCGTAGTTCCCTCCCACAGACCTCAATGTGTGATGCTCCCCTCCCTGTTTCCATGTATTCTCATTGTTCAACACCTACCTGTGAGTGAGAACATGTGGTGTTTGATTTTCTGTTCTTGTGTCAGTTGCTGAGAATGATAGACTGGACAGGGAAAATGTGGCACATATACACCATGGAATACTATGCAGCCGTAAAAACGATGAGTTCGTGTCCTTTGTAGGGACGTGGGTGAACCTAGAAACCATCATTCTCTACAGATATTAAAACAGTATTCTATTGTGCAGGGCACCAATCTCCCAATTTTCTGGTTTTAGAATTAGTAACCAAAAAATTGTTTAATGAACACAGAATCAGAGAATAATGATGTTTTAAGGGCTGCTTGTTCATGATTATAGTAGACCTTCTCAACCCCCCAGCTCCTTTTTTGCAGAGTCCTTATAACCAGAGATGCTATTTACTTCAGCTAGATTCTGTCTTAATTCTTGGAGTCTGTTGAACTGACATCTCTTCTTATTCCAGCAATCTTCTATGCTTCCACTCTGATGCTCAATCTAAGGTTCAATTTTTCTTTTGATATGTTGCTGTGCACAGATTTTGCTCTGGGCCCCTTACCAGTATGCATTCATGTTATAATTCAAACTTGTGGCATTCTGGGAGCTACGTATGAATTTAAAGCTTCTATTCCTGTTCAGATTATAAATGCTTTAAGAAACAAGTTTTATTTCTGTGACCCTATGTGCTCCCACACAGTTTTAGCTATACTAGGTGCTTAATTAGTATTTGTTGAATGAAATAATAAGTTGTAAAAATTTTATTGTTATTTTTAAAGTTAATATTTGCTATATGGTCATTTCTTAAAAGCACATCCATTTCTGGAAGAATTGTTGGTATTTAAGGGGATCTTTACTAACTATCACTAATTGCATTAGTTTTTACTGATCCAGAGTATATACTTCAAGCAGTTAATTTATATTAGAGAAAAACAGTAAAAATGGCTCCTAAAAAACAATAGAAGAAAGCTACATTTGAGTTTGCAAAATTTACCTTTTAAATTGTACCTAAGACATTGAATCTGTACATGCATAGAAAATACTAAGTACACTTTTCCTTTCTTCTAAACTCAAGTTGAACCTTGTTAACGTTGATAGGCTATTTGTATTCATAAGAATTCCAAGCATCCTTGATCAATGATTTCTCCTGATTTAATCTCTCCCTCTATCTTCCATCAACTTACTCTTCTTGAAAAAAAATTTGACTTTTAAATTCAAGGAAGAACCTCAAAGAAAGAAAAAAACAAGGTGCTGAACATAATTTAGATTAAATGTCGAAAGTGATAATTGAGTGACAACTGACATGATAATTCATTAGCAGAAACTTTGGGAGTGTAATGCCAGATTTTAATTTTTTTAAAGAGAGAGAATGGTAGAAAAAAGAAAGGAT